CTTCCTACTAAAACGATGAAATTTCAAATTTTTTTTTGTCGAGATTTTGTGTCCTAATGGTCCCTCGTGATACCCTGAACTCCATAAACTAAATTATTCTCAGATTTGAAGCCAAAATCCATGAAAAAAGGCACTCAGAAAAATTGAAAAATTGATAAATCACCACAATTTGCTTTGCACGATTTCATCTCAGGAACTATAAGTGTCAATGAGCTGAAATTCTCAGGGATTGTAGTCCTTTGAAAAGGATAATTTTCAGTGAAAGATTCAGCTTTCTATCTAGAATAGAAAAAAAGTTATGACTTTTCAAAATTTTCCAAAAAAATCATAAGGGGGGTGTGTCCTAATGGTCCCTCGTGATACCCTGAACTCCATAAACTAAATTATTCTCAGATTTGAAGCCAAAATCCATGAAAAAAGGCACTCAGAAAAATTGAAAAATTGATAAATCACCACAATTGCTTTGCACGATTTCATCTCAGGAACTATTAAGTGTCAATGAGCTGAAATTCTCAGGGATTGTAGTCCTTTGAAAAGGATAATTTTCAGTGAAAGATTCAGCTTTCTATCTATAATAGAAAAAAAAGTTATGACTTTTCAAAATTTTCCAAAAAAAATCATAAGGGGGGTACCTTCCTACTAAAACGATGAAATATCAAATTTTTTTTTGTCGAGATTTTGTGTCCTAATGGTCCCTCGTGATACCCTGAACTCCATAAACTAAATTATTCTCAGATTTGAAGCCAAAATCCATGAAAAAAAGGGCACTCAGAAAAATCGAAAAATTGATAAATCACCACCAATTGCTTAGCACGATTTTATCTCAGGAACTATAAGTGTCAATGAGCTGAAATTTTCAGGGATTGTAGTCCTTTGAAAAAAATAATTTTCAGTGAAGGATTCAGCTTTCTATCTATAATAGAAAAAAAGTTATGACTTTTCAAAATTTTCCAAAAAAATCATAAGGGGGGTACCTTCCTACTAAAACGATGAAATTTCAAATTTTTTTTTGTCGAGATTTTGTGTCCTAATGGTCCCTCGTGATACCTTGAACTCCATAAACTAAATTATTCTCAGATTTGAAGCCAAAATCTATGAAAAAAGGCACTCAGAAAAATTGAAAAATTGATAAATCACCACAATTGCTTAGCACGATTTTATCTCAGGAACTATAAGTGTCAATGCGCTGAAATTTTCAGGGATTGTATTGTATTGAGGAGGTGTTGAAAGCAACAAAAATATTAAAAGTAGTAACGAAAACCCCAACCAATTATGAATCATCAAATTCGACACTTTCGATTGATGATGCTACACCAGCTGTATCAGACCTTGACGAATGGTTCCTAAATGATTTCAAGTCCAATGAAGATGAAGAACCAGAAAACTGTGGTGATGGAAATCCGTCAACATATCAGATTGTTAGTATTGCCGGGCAAGAAACACTCAATTTACCATCAGGATCGCAAACGATATGTGAAAAGCCAAATTATGAGTATTGTTCGTCGATTTTTAACTGATACTTGCGGTATGAGGAGCGAGGGGGGTGTTTCATATGACAAAAACAGGTGTGACGTCAGGTAACCATTGGCGTTCTAATGTAGGGAGCCACCAGCTTACATTCCGTCCGAGTATCAGATTAAAATCGACGAACAATAGGTAAAGTCTGGTTTTTTTAAAGATAAAAGTCAAAATGACATTATGTTGGCAATACAATGTAAAATTGTCAATGCTTTCAAATTTTTTATGTAGAAAAGGCTTTTGTTGCCAAAAAAGTTACTAAATTTTTGACTTGGGGTATTATCTTAAAAAAAAAAAGATTTTATATGCAATTACTTAAATAGATTTTCTCTTCGAACATTAAATAATACATTCATTCTTGCTCGAAATTAAATTGATTAATGATACATTCTACACGCCCCGTGGATTCCAAACCGGAATCCACGGCCTGTCGTCCAATCAAATTCTCCATATTTTCGGAATACTTGGGCCGCAACGAGACAATGCAAACAAAACATGACTGACGTCTGCTGTCAGATCACTAAACTTTCAATTAAGGCGGGTTTAGACTTTTGATGATTGTTATTTTTTACAAAAACTAATGATTTTCTTTCAAAAAGTTCGAAGAGAAAGTATAGTCTTCTACTCGCAAATAACGGCTATTATTCCCTCGAATAATTCCAACACTCGCCTTCGGCTCGTGTTTGAATTTTCATTCTCGTGAATAATAGCCATCATTATATGCTCGTTAAAGAATATACTATTCTCGATTTTGATGTGAGAATGTCATTATTCCCGCACGCAAAATCATTGAAGAATGAAGCTCATTCTTCAACGATTTTTAGTGACATTTAGTTTTCAAAGTATGCCTATCGGTACCTTCAAAATTGTCAAACCTGCTATTAATGATCAATGAACTATAAACTACCCGTACCTGGAATGGCCCGCCGATCTATAAATTTGCGGCAGATTGAGATGGAGAATGTGGGGTACACACATCTCTATTTATCTTATTGGCGAATCATGGAAATCTTTCCTTGTCTAAAAAATATTTTATTCGAGGTTAGCAATATGCCAAACCTAACAGCAATGAACTGGAGAGAGAAAGGGATACCCCACTATGTAGCTTTTTTGGACGCACTAAGCGAGATGACATATGCCATACAAATGCCATATCCGACAACGGTCGGTGCCATTCCAGATACGTGTAGTTTATAGTTCATTGATAATGATAGAATCCACCTGTCAGTTTGTTGGTAAGTAAAGTGTCACCAACTGACATATGTTGAAAATAAAAAATCCCCAACTAACAGCGTTCACAAAAAAAAAAAATATATTTACGACTAATGTATAATGTGCTGTAACGAAGTTACAGTATTTTTCGTTAATTAAGGGCACCTCTCGCCTCGATTTAATTTAAATATAAACTGCGTGCCTTAATTTTCTATATTCAGCGCGGTATTAATTAAAATCTTCTTCATATTATATTTAAATATTAAATAAATCATCGTGATAACGCGTGACCTTGCCTGGAATCTACCGAAACCCAGCAGAGTTTCAACCAATATCAGCTAATTTGCATATTTCCCTGTACCCCGCCGCGGCCCTGACCCATCTTTTCGTCTATAAAATAGGCCCGATTTGCTGATAAAGAGACAGTCGTCTTGAACCAAGTTTCGCCAGCTAGCCGACCTGCAGTAATCACCAGAACCACCCAAGGTAAGCATATACTGGAGCCGGCCGTAACAACAGTAGGGTCAGTTCTTGCAGGACCGCGAATCACACCAAAAGGTCAAAAACAAACAAATATATAAGCTTCATTAAGATTTTCTCCCGGTACCTTGGACGGGTAAATCTATTGCTGCGATAAGAGCTTCTCCCGGTACCTTGGACGGGTAGCTCTTGCGGGTCTCGCCTGGAACCTTGCACGGCTGATCCGTATGAGAGATTTTCACCTGGAATCAAGGACAGGTATTTCTCTCCGAAGCTTATATATTGTCTCTGATCCGTTAACAATTACGATTCAAGAACTGATGCTTGCGTGGTTTCGGCTGGGTTCCGAACATTTGCTTGGGTAACCGGAGTTTGTTTTCCCCGCTTGATTGCTTTGACTGTTATCATTAGCTCTACCAGGACTCTTAGAGTCACCGTAAGACTGATCGTTTCATTTTTATTATCATTTGACTTTTCCGGACACGCTTTTCCCCGCTCGCTTGGTCACGCTTTTGCCGCACGCACACCATTTTCACTCATTTAATTTTCTCTCTCTCCCGCATCCCCGTTTATTCTTTCATCACGGTAATTTAGGGTTTTTCCTGTAAATATTTATTTGTTTTGTTTTTCCAGTAATACAGGGTGTTATATTTTGTAAAATTTTACTTTTATTTTACTACCCTTTCCCCCCGAACCCTTCTGGAAATTTTTCAGGAAATAGGCTTTGCAGGACGTTTTAGGTAATTCTCGACTGTCAGCATCTATTGTGACCCCTGGGTTACCGTTTTCTCCACTAGCAAGCTACCTGGTGCACGTGGGCCCTCAACCACTTTAATCCTGAGGGTGGCGCCCGAGGCAAATCCGCCGACTATTCCCTTGACTGGGAAATCACCACGATTACATAAAGAAAGCGCATTACAGTGCGTATTATATTTGTGATTTTGGCAGTATAATGACATATGTTATTCCTCCAGGGATTAATGACGAGTAGCGGGATTAATGGTCATTATTCCACAAAAGTGTCAGTGTCAAACGTGTAGTGCTTGTGGATTTGTATTGAAAATTATGAGACGGATGAAATTTGTTCATTGAAAATCTCAAATAAATTAATTTGTCGTAAATAAAGTAGAGTATACTACTCGCAATAATGGCTATTATTCCCTCGGAATGTAACTCACTGATATTCCTCGGGAATAATAGCTATCATTATTGACTCGTGGTATAATCTACTATTAAATATGAAAAATAAAATCCAAAATTGAGAAAATACTATAAAACACACGTTGCTCCTTCGTCGCTCGTGGCCAAATTTCGAATTCGTGCGGGAATATGTGGCCTTCTGCAACTTGTATTTTAATATACTATACTCGTGGACAAAATTATCGCACCATTGCTTATGGTGATGCTTATGTGCAGTGGTGCGATAATTTTGTCCAGGAGTATAGTTCAACTAGTATAATATTTTGATTTTTGGAATTTTGCTATGTAATTTAAATTGGAAAAAGAAAAACACATTAAAATTTTTTAGGAAATGCAAGTTGATAAGGATGGGTTTTGCATTCCATTAGTTCCTGTTCTAACTCCTGGCCGTTTGAACAACTTTACATCCAAGCATCAGGTACACTTATATAATATTTATTAATAAAATAAAAACTATTGTTGTGTTTATATTTTAGGACCTTAAACAGTTTTTACATAAAAATGGTGGTTCTCATATTTTGAATGAATATGACGAGAACTGAATACTGTCCGATAGGACTAGGAGGGATTTAGTAAATCTAACTGTAAAAATGATGTTGAATGAATTTGGACAAAATTTAACAAAAAATATTAAAGTTGAATATGCAAAGGCCATTGTTCAACTTTTTCCCAAGCTCAAAGATCCAACTAGTAGCAAGGGGGGTTACGTAAGTTACCTTTTTATTTTATCTTACATTTTTTTTAGCTTATATGAGCATATCTACAGAGTGTTCATTTTAAAACTTACCCTCTCTATTCACATTCAGGATTTTCTAGGGGGTGACTCTGGGGGGAGGTGAATTTTGCATAAAAACTCACCCCCTTTCAAATTATAATTGACATGTTTTAGGGATTTTTTAGAAAATTTTTCAACTCCAAGAGAATAATAGGGGTGCTGAATTTTAAAACAAAGACCCTGTATATAAATTAGTACATATTATCTGAATACTTATGGTTTTGGTATTATTTTAGTAATTATGCTTTAGCAGCTTCAGTTTAAAGCTTCATAATTTTGTAATTAATAATAATAATAATAATGATAATGATAAAAATAATAATAATCTTCTCATGTATGAATCATATAAATGGATATTTTTATTTTTTGTTAAATACTTTTAATTCTGTAATTGAATAATTGAATTATTGATTTATAGGAAATATTTTATGATGACTCTCAAAAAACGCCAAGTGGATATTTGGCTTGGCGTCTTCGAACTGTGATGAGAAGTAGGGGTAACATAAGAAAGAGAAAATGTGATGATGGAATAGAAAATAGGGTGCCATTTAAAAAGCCGAAAAATATTGAAATAAGCACAGAAGAAGAACGAGACATAGAGTTTTTAAAAAATTCAAATTACAAGACTCAGAAAGAGGAGATTTTTAAAAAAATGAAAAGCACAATTAATGTGAGAAAACAGAGAAATTTTACACTTGATGATTTTCCTCGATTTCTCGACACTGATGGCTTGGTAAGTTTGTTCAGAAACTAAATTCACTTATGTAGCTTACTTTATTGGTTCATAAGTATTTAGATTCATCAAGATTTTAATTTGCTTTATCCTGATTCTTGTCCATTTGCCCCAAAATTTGAGAAATACTTAGACATTATCTTTAAAGTGTATGACAAAACTGCTTGCAGTAAATCATCATTAATTGATGGAACTGTTTCAGGTTAGTATACTTAGAAAAAATAATACATTTTAGAATTCAAATTTTTTAATTTAAGGTTGGGATAAGCCGACGCGAGCACTTTTAGCGCTATTGCATATGCTGCCAGCTACTGCCAAGGGAAAAAAAGTGGGAAGAAGAGACTCATTTGAATCATCTGTGGACAAATTACTAATTTTCTGCACTGTGAGTGTCTAGGCAAACTTATTAGCTGTAACAAATAGCTATAAAAAAATATTGTTAAAATTTAAGTCATGCTTTTCATAACGATAAATATATTTTTAAGGTTGGAGAACCTCTACAAAGGATCGTGGATGAAAGAAAAGGATTCCAGCCATATCTAATTGGCATTGGAGCAAACAAAGCTGCCATCTCAGAGTACAAGGTAGTTATTGACTCAAAAATAGTGGACACTCGTTGCAACAACATTATTGAGTCATTTGATTTTCTTTTTAAATGCTACTTCGTTTTTAAGGTAAGATATGATACTGGACTTGATATTTTTTTGAGGTTTATTGAAATTTTTTTTACGACATAAAATTAGATTTTAATAATATGACAACAAAAATGAAGGAACTGATGAACAGGTTACAAACATTCATCGAAGTATAAATTAATTCCATCATATTTGAGAACTTTGAATTTTTATTTTAATAACGAATAAGACTTTATAAAAAATTCAAGTACTAATTAACTAACTGTTACCATTTTTGCGGTTATCAAAACAAGAAAAGCCTTTGGGGCAAGTTCAAAAAAAAAAAATTGTGATAATGTCACAACTAAGTTGTTTTGTGTGTTTTGTAAATTTTAATAATATTTTACTTTTGATTCAACATATAAGAAGAAATCATTTTCCCATAGAACATAATTTATCTCTAAAATGTTGTTCAGTGAGTTGTGCCTTGATATTTAAAACTTTTAATGGCTACAGAAAGCATTTAAAAAGTTGTAAAAAACTTACACAAATAGAAATAGATCTCAGTCTTACTTGTCCCGAAATAAACTCCCATGAAAATAATGAAAATGTTTGTCCTGAAATGGAACTTCCAAATAATGGATCTAATATTGATCAAAAGAAAAAAGTGGATTTAAAATCATTATTATCAGAAGAAGTAAATATTCATGTTTTGTCCTTTCTGTCTCAAATTTTGTCACTTGGAATTCCCATATCAACCATTATTCGTATAATGGAATGTCTTAAAGAGTTAATTCAGAACATTTTAGAAATTACTGAACAAATCGTTAAAGAAGAAAACAGAAATACAGATCCTTTCCATTGGATTTCAGAGTATATTTTGAATAATTTGGATTTGTGTAATACAGAGTACAAAATAAAAAAACACTTTTCAAGCAAAATTGTTCAACCAAAAGAAATACCAATAGGTGTTCGTGTTGATCAAGTTTTTAATAAAACCAGCAAAACATATGTCCAGAAAAATATACTTAAGTCTTTTACATATTATATTCCCCTTCTCGAGACATTGACTAATGTTTTAAAAAATCAACAGTTCCAAAGATTTTTCTTGAATGAAGATATCAATGTTAATGAAACTTTGCTTTATGAAACATATTCTGATGGTAGCTCTTACAAAAGAAATCTACTTTTTCAACAACAACCAAATGCAATCCAGATACAATTATATTATGACGAATTTGAGTGTTCAGCTCCTTTGGGTACTAAAACTGGTTGTCACAAAATGGGTGCTTTTTATTTTATTATACGGAACGTTCCCCCAAAATTTTTATCTGCATTAGCAAATATACATTTACTTGCACTATTTTACTCTCATGACTTAAAAGAGGCGAGCATTAATTCATTCTTACAGCCTTTCCTGAAAGACTTACAAGAATTAGAAACTCAAGGATTATCAGTGGATTTTTTACCCTATAAATTAAAAGGTACACTAGTTGCTTTAAGTCATGATAATTTGGGAGGAAACACCATGTATGGAATGGTAGAATCATTCAATGCCAATTACTATTGTCGGAATTGCCTCATTCACAAAAGGAATATTGAAAATGTTTTGACTGAGAACCATCCTGCATTTCAAAAAAGAAGTTTAGAATTTTATAAAAATTTAATAATAACCTATTCTGATACGCCTTATGGAGTAAAAATTATAAGCTGCTTAAATGATCTTTCTTATTTTAATTTAGGCAATTCTGTTTCTGTTGATGTCATGCATGACATCTTAGAGGGTGTTGCTCATTACGAAATAAAATTATGGCTCAATAAATTGGTTAGTCAAAAAATATTAACTCTTGAAGAAATTAATGATAGAATTTTTTTTTTTGATTATGGACAAATTGATATATCTAGCAAACCAAGTCCTATAAAACTAGATAAAAGTGGATATATTATTGGACAACGAGCCGCTCAAATGTGGTGTCTTATAAGATATCTTCCACTGATTCTTTCTGATGTTTCAAGTACATGTGGAGAATTTAATATGATTATCCTTTTACTTGGTATAATGAATATATGTTTTTCGCCAATTATTCCCAAAAAAGCAATAGATGAGTTAGAACAACTTATTATTAATCATCACAAAAAAGTTTTGGAATATGGTCACTTGCTACCCAAACATCATATGATGATACATTATCCTAGAGCTATTTCTGAAATGGGTCCATTGGTACACCTATGGTGTATGCGCTTTGAGGCGAAACATGGATATTTTAAGGATCTTGTACACAAACTTAAAAATTTCAAAAATGTCCCCAAGATGCTCGCTTTCAGACACCAAATACATATAAATGTACTTTGGGAAAATATATCTTTCAAAGATAATATTGAACTTGGTCCAAAGACAGTTTTTTTACTTGAAGAATAAATATAAAAGATAACTTGGATCTTCCTAATCCTGAACAAATATTTGAAATCAAGTTCCTTACCTACAGTAGTTTTACTTATAGGATAGGTTTATTTATATGCACTAAAGTTGAAGAAATGGGACCCACGTTCTCTGAAATAAAAAAAATTCTTCTGATTGAAAATCAACTATTTTTTATAGCACAACCTTGGAAAACTGAAAAATTTCACAAAGATTTAAATGCTTATCCGATTAAAGTTAGTTATAATTCAATGGTTCTTGTTGATGTTGAACTTCTCCGAAACAAGGATGCCTATGAAAAAAAACAACCATTCCGTAAGACAGATTTTTTTATAGTCCCAAAGCATATTTTAGTTTAAAATTTAAATTTTTTAAAAAAACTTTTAAATAAGTAGCAATGAACAAATACACTCTGTCAAAAATTTTGTTGCAACCTCATCTTGGGTATTATTTTATGTATTCTAGTTTATGTAGGTATTACAATGTTATTACCAAAGTTTGTATTACATGATATTTTAGAACAGTAAAGGTTTTGTTTTTTCACAATAAAAATATTTATGTTTATAAAGTAGGCATTATATTATTGTTTATAAGTTTGCTCAAAATATTTTAGCTTTTGTTAAAGAGATTTTTTTTGGAACTATTTTAGAAGTTGTTTTTTTGGTTACCAGGGTTGACAGGGATGTTATGGGATCGATATTTGAGAAACGTCGATTGTCAAAAACCGTATCACGATATCTTCAATGGTACCATTGATACAGGGCGATTTTCGATTTCCCCCTTTTATGAAAAATAGCTATAAGTTTTTTATTTATCATTTTTTTTTTATTTCTGTAAAAAAAATTTGGACGTACTTTTTTGAGCATAATCCAGTCGCGTACCCAGTTTTTTTCTATTTCGCTCTGATTTCGAGATATCGACCAAAGTCCGATATTTTTAAATAAAACACCCTATATGATAATAGCTCATTGGATAGCTCTGTTTTGGCTGATTTCAAGGATATAAAGTTCGATGGGTTTATCTATAACAGTTTTCGAGAAAAAAAATTATATCTGTTTTTGTTGGAAAAGGATTTTATGTCTGTAAGGCAAATGAGGAAGGTGTCTTTCTAACACATTGTTTCTTATGATTGAAAGAGATATAATTTTTGTTTCTCGAAAACTGTTAGAGATAAATCTATCAAACTTTATATCATTGAAATCAACAAAAGCAGAGCTATCCAATGAGATTGATATATAGGGTGTCCTATTTAAAAAAAAAATAGGGCTTTGGTCAATATCTCAAAATGGGAATGGAATAGAAAAAAACTGAGTAGGCCGCTGGATTGTGCTAAGTATCCCAAAAATGTTTTCACAAAAATAAAAAAAATTGATAAACAACAAACTTATAGCCATTTTTCATAATAGGGAAAAATCGAAAATAGCCCTGTATTTATGATATACCATCGAAGATATCGCGATAGGTTTTTTAACAATCTATGTTTCTGGAAAATCAATCGCATAACATCTAAGTCAATTTTCCTCTATCTGGTCTGGAAGTATGTTTTTCCTGTCAAAACACTCCAGATTGCAGCATCCTGTACTAAGGCTATCTATATCTGAAGAAGGATGAAGGATGTATTTATTATGTATTTTATTTTAAAATATGCGTTATTGTAGAAGATTCAAACTGTGTCAAAATAATAAGTGAAACACACTATAATATTTTCAATTCCTGTTTTATCTTTCCCTATATTTAAAAAAAATTGATATATTTCGTGACCTTAAAATGAAGGGAAACATTTTAAGAAATTTGATTTATTAGGTTCATTCCTGAATTCAACTGTTCCCGAGATGTCTTGAAAATCAATTTATTGTTAGATATTTAATTGTAAGTACTACCTATCTCAGAAACAGTTGAATGTAGGAAGATAGGTATACATAATATTATGGTCATCTGGTCAAGGAATACATCAAATTTTTTAAAATATAGTGAAAGATAAAACAGAAATTAGAAAATATTTATAGTGTGTTTTAATTACTGTTTAACCTTTTACCACTTTTACCAGTTATTGTTTTTCTTTTTAGGATGGGTTTGTTTTCTTGTAAAAGCCATTTTTATTTATTTTTAATTTATAGACACCTATAATAAACGATTAACACTCAATAATGTGTTTTTTTTTTCATTAACCAAAATATTTTTAACACTAGGCAAATAAAATTTACCTTTGATCAAAACCTAAATTAACACTCAGTAAAGTGTACTTTTTACGTCCTCTAAAATATTTTTAACACGAAATAAATACAATTCACACTAAACTAGGTTAATAAATTGACACTAAATCACCTTTATTTAAATACTTTTAACACGGAAAATATTATTTTTTACAAAAGATAAGATTATTTTAACCCTATTTGGGATTTTAAAGAAACACGCAAAAAAGGGTAAAATGAATGTATTTTTAAATAAAATTTACCAAATTTTACCACATTTTATTAGTGGTGAATTTAACACGCATGAGTGTGGACCTACCTATATATGTACCACTTTTGCGTGTTAAAATTAACACTCGATTTTTTACTGTGTTCGATAGGTAGAGGTAGGTACGAATTCTTTTTTTTTTTGTGAATTGTGGTCCTGAAAAGGACCGATTGATGCGTCGAAGTAAATATATGCCTATTTACTTGGCCTTATTGTCTGTCTTTTTGGGCAAAAGGACAGCTTGGATGTTTGGCAGCACACCACCCTGTGCGATGGTCACTCCTGACAAGAGTTTGTTCAATTCCTCGTCGTTTCTTATGGCCAATTGAAGATGTCTCGGAATGATACGAGTCTTCTTGTTGTCCCTGGC